AGAGAGAGAGAGAGAGAGAGAGAGAGAGAGAGCTCTTATTGAGCTGTACAATGCTCATCCAGCTATTTTTTTATCATATCTCTTACTTTACAGCCTTTTGTTGCTCCTGTGTTGCTGCCATTTAAAAAAAAAAATCGCATCAGCATTTGATGTTTACTGTGTCCCATTGTAAATAAATCCTGGTTTATTATAATTGCACATCACTCCATTATTAACCTAAAATCTTCTGTGTGGATATAAAGGCAAAGAATAAACAAGTCATTCATTATTATTGTGGCTGTTTTACATCAATTAAGAATAAAAATTAACCTTCAAATCAAACTTTAACAAGCTCAGCTGAGCCAAAGTGCTCCACGGGTTTAGTTTCACTTTTGCTTCTTAACACAAAAGCTTCTTCCATCCTTTGTCCCAATTTGCTGTTTGTTTTTCAGGCTTTCATGTAAAAGAGTTCATTACAAGAAACGCAACCACCGCAGCTCAGTAATCAGATCATTTTATCATCACATCAGTGGAAAAAATGCTTGTTAAATGAATCCACTCCTTAACCTTCTTAGTTGTAGCTTAGCTACAAAGGTGCATGTTTTTGTACTTTTAAGAATTTGTAAAACATTCTTTTTGACACACCTTTATACAGTTAGTGGTGTTATAGTTCAAGAAAAGGTCGATGTATTTTTTTTCTACATGTTTTAATCTGTTGTAAAGAAGAAACAGAAGTGGCTGCAAACTGAGTTTTGCATTACAGTAGTCCCTCGTTTATTGTGGTGGATCCGTGAAGCCCCACGATAAGTGACAAATCACAAAGTAGGGATAGTATTACAAGTAGTAGCAGTTTTATTTCAGTGTATATATATATATATATATATATATATATATATATATATAGTGTTTTAAACCCCACACTCTTGCAATATTCTAAACAGTGTTTTTAAACTCGCAACGCTCTAAAAGAGCACAGCATGTCATGATCTCCGCTCTCGGCCATGCTCACCTCTCTGCTGCAGAGATCATGACATTCTGCACGAGGGAGCTTCTCCCTGCATCTATAGGCTGCACCAGCACCAGTAGGTGTTGGTGCAGGTGCGAGGGACTACTTGAATAGGTTTTCTTCAGGGTGATGTCTCTGTTATTGCTACATGTGCCGTCACTTTTTATTTATTGTTCACGTCTCACTAACAGCTGACGTTTCGGGTTCCAACAAACCTTCAGCTGCTGATGAACATAAACCCGCCAATGAAGTTCATCCAGAGGCGAAAGGCAACGTCGACGTTGCAGCAGATGAGGAGCTGACCTCTACCTCGGCTGTTTTAGAGAACATCCCAGAGTCTGTGAACCAGGAGTTCATGGAGATGCTAGTGGAGAATGTTTTAAAGGATCTTAGCTCTACAACTGCCTCCAGTTTCACTTTGGAAATCATTCCTGACGGCTCATGTGGCGTTGTGACTTTCCAGAACGGAAAAGGTACTCACTCAATTTACAATTTCAAAAGCTCAATGTTTTTGTTTTTTTTCTCATTTTGAGAACAATTCAGGTTCATTTTTTCCCTAAATCGTCCTCCTCTTTTGCTGTTTCACAGATAACTCTGACTTTATAGCAAAGTGTCCTCAGAACAGGGTGTTCACAAAGATGAAGCTATCCGTCCGACCTCTTGAAGTCTCAGAACAAGTTGTAGTTGAAGGCGTTTTAAATTGCAGCGAAGACTTAATTGAGCTCCACTTTGAGAATGAAGGAGGAGAGGTGAAAGATGTCAGACTTAATGAATCCGAGCAGTCTGCTGTTGTCACATTTAAGAACCATCAAGGTATTTCATTTGCACAGCGTCTTGATCGCAAACTTGCAACATTTATTCCTATAATACAAAAGTGAAAACCACCGTCATAACATTGTTGTGTGTCTTTTTTTCCTGTAGCTGTGAGGAAAGTCCTAAACAAGAAGCATCAGATAAAAAAAGAAGAAGTCAAAGTCTATCCGTTTTATGAATCTTTGGGGGTAGCTCTTTACGGCAAAGATAAGCCATCACCAAAACTTCCTGCTGCCATTTCTGAACCCATTGATGACGCCATTTGGAGTTATCTAACCAGCAACAAAGCTGCAGCAGAGACTGTTCAAAGTGACTTGGCTAAACATTTCTGCTCTATAACCTTAAACCAGTCAACTGTGCAACTGCGCCCTGTACCTTCATTATTAAGGGAAAAGAATGCCAAAGCCTTCATTAAAGAGTGGGAAAATACTGTAAAGTCAGCCTTTGCACAAGCTGTGTCAAAATTCAAAGCCCTGAAGTTCTCCCTAGAGTCAGACGTGTGGAAAGAGTCTGAGGAGAAGATCAAGCAGACTCTTCAGAAAGAAGACGTAGTTGTTGTACCCAACAAAGCCAACGGTGTCTTCTCAGTGGCTGGCCTTGTGACTAACATCACCAGATTAGAGAAACCTCTTTCAGAAGTCCTTAACAAGGTTCAACAAAAAGTGCGGAGGGAGAAATTAAGCAAGACTCAAGAAATCAAAGTGTCTCCATCAATTTTCCACATTCTTTCCCAAGATGGTCTTCAGGATAAACTTGTACAAATGTGCCCAGAGCTCCAAGTGTCCTACGACAAACAGAATGGTGTTGTGAAAGTAACTGGCTTTGTGGATGAGATTATTAATGCGAGCAATGTGATACATGATGCAATGGTTGCATTAAAACGTCAGAATTTGGAGGTAAATACATATTTGTTTGATCTGCTCAAAGATGAGCCACAAGAGGAGCTTACAGACACTCTTCTCACAGCTTATTCCATAAATGCAGCATTGGAGATCAGTGCACTTAGGCTGCAGCTCACTGCTGTTTCTGACAGGGATCTGTTGGATGCTCAAGACCATCTGAAGCAGCTGCTTATCTCCCAATACATAGATGTCGAAGATGATAAAGTCCTGACGATGCCAGAGTGGCAGCACCTGGTCAGTCGGTTAAAAAATACCAACAGTGAATCAGGCAGAAAAATTCAAATTGACACCACCCCTAAACAAGTCGTGGTGTCCGGTCACAAGGATGCTGTCACAGAAGTTAGCAGTGAACTAGATGACTTTTTCACACAGAATTCTCACATTGAAGAAATTGTTGAAGTTGAGGCAAATCTCATTGTTGAATATCTTCATAGTCAGACAACCTTGTTGAAGCAGGTGGATAGCACCGTAGACGTGTCTTACGTAGAGAATACCATCGTCCTGAGTGGTCCCAGAGCTGCTGTAACACAGTGGAAGAGCATTGTGGAAGACCTGGTCGGTTCTGTATGCTTTGATCGTTTTGCAGTTTCTAAACCTGGAGTAAAGAAGTCCTTTAAAGAAAAAGAAGACATGTACGGTCCCCTGATCAAGAAGGAAACTGGTTGCCTGGTCCAGCTAGTTGATGAGACTGAAGATGACTTTGCGTTTGTACAAGTGCTAAAGCCTGTTTACCAAATTCAGACAACTGATGGAGTGGAAATAGCTGTTGCTAAGGCAGATATGTGCAGCTACCCTGTGTGTGCAGTTATCAATCCCTCTAATGAGGACTTGAACCATAATGGAGGTCTTGCAGCAGCACTTTCAAAGGCTGCTGGCCCCCAGTTGCAGAGTGAATGTGACAAAATAAAAAATGTGAAAGGGAAACTGAAGCCTGGGGAATGTGTCATAACTGGCGCTGGGGGGCAGCTTTGCTGCAAAATGGTCATCCATGCTGTTGGGCCAAGGTTTGAACCCACTAAACCACAAAAGGCAGAGGCACAATTAAAAAAAGTCGTTAAAGAAAGCTTAGAACTTGCTGAAAAGCATTCATGTCTTTCTGTGGCTCTTCCTGCCATCAGCAGCAACTCAGGCTTTCCCCCCAATTTGTGTGTGTCGACCATCGTCAAGGCAGTGAAGGAATACTGCAACGAGAAATTGGATGACAACACACTGAAGAAGATCCATTTCGTAGACAATGTCGACCATGTCGTTCAGATTATGGAAGTTCACGTCAAACAGGAGTTTGGAAATAAGGGTGTTAGTCCTTTGCAACCAGTTCTTCTTCCCAAAGTTAAACTTCCACAAGTGAAGCTACCTGTGCTTCATCACAACTTGTGCCATGTGCAAACTAAAGAGGGCTTGGAGATCGTTCTTAAAAAAGGAAATATCGAAGCAGCCAAGGTAATTTTTGATAATCTTTTTACTATGCTTCATTAAAATATAGCAAATATTTTAAGACTTCAATACTTAGAGTAGAGATTGTATTAAATGTTAACTCCTCAAAACCCTAATAGATTTCTGGAGATTGACATATCTATCCTAACTCACTCCAATGCCATTGATACTTGATTTTTTTTTTTTTAATTTTGTGTGTGTGCGCGTGAAAAATATGTTGTGAAAGCATTTCTCATAGCAGTGTTTTACCACATTTTCAGACGGAGGTGATAGTGAACACAGTGTTTGAAGATCTTGCACTGAATAGAGGGGCAATTTCAAATGCCATCTTGGGTGCGGCTGGACCTAAGCTTCAGCAACTGGTCACTAACCAAAAATCCAATGGAACTCCTGGTGAGATCATTGTTACAGATGGCTGCAGGTTGAAGAGCAAGCAAGTATTTCATGTGGTGGCCCCTAGCTGGGATAATGGCCAAGGCACAGCTGAACAGGTAAGTCTTACATCTTGTATTTACTAAATTCTTGAAAGTGTGAGCATCAGCTAAACTGTACTTCAAAAACTAATTTTCAGAACAACTGCACAGTACTTTTGTTGTGTTTTCCAGACCTTAGGTGGGATCGTTAAAGATTGCCTGGAGAAGGCAGAGCAAACTAACTTGTCCTCCATATCTTTCCCGGCTATTGGTACTGGGAACTTGGGTTTTCCAAAAGACCATGTTGTGACCTTGATGCTGGATAAAATCCAAGACTTTAGCAGTCAGACACAACCCAAGCATCTAAAGAAAGTTGCAATAATTCTTTTTCCCACAGATGCACAAACTATTCAGGTAAATGTAACAATGTTTAACGCATTTTTAGAGTGTAAAAAGTTATATAACACTGTTGTCTTTGTTGAAATCCATGAATGATGTGCTTTGTTATGAAACGTGTGTATTTTAAGAATGTATCAAATTCTATCCCCAGGTATTTACTAATGAATTCATGAAGAAGTTTCCCAATGCCTCAGGTAGCACAACATCTACTAGCTCCCCACAGAGTACAGGTAGGTTACGATGGATTGTACCCACATTTTACAGTTTCAATTAAATATGAAGGATTTAGGTGCAGGAACAATGCATTTAAATTACAGCCATTAAAGGGAAAATGTATTTACAGCTACATTTTCTGTAAGACCTAAAGGGATTTGTGTCTTTATGCAACAGAATACAGTTGGTTCATCATGTCATGCATTTGAAACTTTAGGTTTAGTGACCCTTTTAACATATTTTACTTACAACTACTTCTTCAGCCTTAATTAAAATTGAGTCTTAAATCTGTCCTGTTTATCTCTGCAGTGGGGGCCTTCTCTAAAGTCACCTCCAGCTCAGGAATGCATGAAACTAAAATGGGAAATGTGACAGTGCAAGTAGTATCCGGAGACATAACCAAGGAGACCACTGACGTCATTGTCAACTCTTCAAATGACACCTTTTCTCTTCAGTCAGGTAAATCAGATCAAGTGCAGGAATATCAGAATCAGAATAAGCTTTGTCATTGCACAAAGATACAACGAGAATATGTCTGTACAGTCGTCCGAAAGATAGGCAGATTGCACGTAGCTGCTGCTATATAGTGCGGCCTTTTTATCCTTTTCAGAATACATTTTTTTTTCGATAGAAAAAGGGACAAAGCCATTAGGAGAGGATAGTGGCATTACAAAAAAAGATCTCTTCACACCTTGTCCTAACAGGACATGATTTAAGGCATCAAAAAACTCTGCCAGCAAGCACATTTATAAATACATTACATATGCATTTGATGACGAGGCGGTCCATGAAACACTTAACCGATAGTCCATTTTCCTGATAAGATGGTCAGCCGGCACAGTTCTGATAAGCCTCAACAGAAGATGGGTTGGGGTGGGGGGTTGCGATAGTCAAAGCTTTTCCTTAGTTTACACATTTCCCAGGAGTAGTTTTCATTTTGTAAGATGTGTAAAAATAGGAGCTGCTCTAATCCACAGACAGAGAGCAAAAAAGCAGGAGGAGAACAGGGAGAGGGAAGAGAATGCGTGCGCCTCGTTTCAGAGCCAGTGAGGAAAATATTTCTAACATGAAAAGTGTACATCAATCAACCTTTATTTATACAGGTAAATCCCATTACCATACATGTCCAGGATCCACGTATGAGCTTGCTTCTGTGTGCTTCTAAAAGATTAAAATATATGAAACAGAATAGAGTAGATAAGAAATAGAAGGTTGTGTTGTGGATTTATTTTTTTGTAATTATCAGCAAAGTATTTTGAGTCCAGAGTTGTTTAACATCTTTAAATGATTATTTACAAAAAAATACTCAAGTTATTTTTGGTTTCCCTCCCCAGGAGTTTCCAAGGCAATTCTGGATGCAGCTGGTATGGCCGTTGTAGAAGAATGCCAGTTCCTTGGTAAATAAAATAAAATTATGAGACCTTAATCAAAGTTGATTGATTAGTGTAACAATATTCTTGTTTGGTTTTTGTAGTCCTTGCCATGTGTTGTTCAGAAAGACTGTACAGCTGGAATAAACAAACTCACAGCTGTCACAATTCAGTCAAATTCAGATTCACTATCCATACCCGCAGCTTCCCAGCCCAATCCAGGCATGATAATGACACAGCCAGGTAACCTGAAATCCAAAAAGATCCTCCACCTGGCTGGACGGACGGACCCAGTAAAAATCAACATGGTTGTGAAGGAAGCACTTCAAATGTGTGTGACAAACTCCCTCACCTCTGTCTCTTTTCCTGCCATTGGCACAGGTAAGGGTTACTAAAACACACGTTTCTCCCTATAGGCCAAAGTTGGTTTATTTCTGGATTTGAACGTTTAAAACTGCAGCTTGTTTAGCTGTTTCCCTTCTTTGATACACCTGATTTGAATGATTTGGTGAACAGGCTTTCGTAGAACTCGAGGAAGTAATTAAATCACCGAATCAGGTGTGTTGAATCAGGGAAACGGCTAAAACATGCAGGGTGGTGTTCCTCAGGGACTAGGGTTGGGAACCACTGGTGTTTAGGTTAATGAAAGAATATTCATATGAACTGATACTCAATTTTTGAAATGAGCTTGTAACAATCTGCTTTGGTCTTGGCTTGTTTTGGGCTAGCCATTAGCTGGTCGTTTCTATCAAACAAGACCTTTAAGATCAGACCATCAAAACATCCCTTATGAAACTGGTTCATCGCTCTGATCCAGTAAAGACTTTGCATTACTGTAGCATTTTTTCTGCATTCGATTTGTGGATTTGGCAGTTGAAAGAGGAATAAAAACTGATGCCTTGTGCATTTATTCCAAACCAGCAGTGGAACCGGTTTGGTGGAAACCACAGGGGGTTGTAGGGCATTGGCAGAAGGCTTGTTCTGTACTGGCATGAGGAAGCCCAACATTTTTCTCTATCTTAAAGCCAAAAAAGTTCAGCCTAGTCTTACAGGTAAACAAGGTGTACACCACCCAGAACAAAAGTGAGAGCTGGTTCCATAACTAGAAGCTCTGTCATACATTTTATTTTTATATATGTCGGCTGCTGAGTGGTGCTATCTTTATTTTAAAATCAGACAGAAAATTGTTAAACTAATATTAGCAATGCCACCTAGTTAAACTAGGAATAAGGTTAGGTCACATATCGCAGGGGCGAGCAGTGTTTCACAAAACCAGCCAGTAGAGATTTACAATAACTTATTATGACCAGGGAAACAAATGCCAAAATCTGTTGTATAAAAGGATTAAAAGGGCATCTCAGTCAGTAGTAGTCTGAGGGAAAAGAAGCAGTCTTAGCTGAAAAGGGGCGTGGTCCTCTCGCCCTCGCACGGCGCTCCCAGGTGCTCCCGAGTCTCGACCTTCAATGATCATCCGGCATGCTATCCAGAGTCCGGCGTCCCTCCATGGTCTCGACCTCACCCGGCACTCGTACCTCCTTGAGCCCGGCGTCCCATGGCGACCTTGACCTCCATCGATCTCCAACGCTCGGTCCTCCGCCCCCGACACCAGACCCAGACAACTGCACCCTCCAACCGGGCACGATCCACCATGCCGACCATCATACCTGGTTTCTTGGGTACGTCCTTACCCCCGCTAGTCTCTGCTCTTCATCATGGCGCCTTCAGTCTCTGCCAACCTGCTGACCGGCTGTCGCCCCTTGGCGGTGGTTTCGCACCCGGCCATTGCGCTCCCTGGCCAATGCACCTCCTGCCAAAAAGCACAAAAAGCCACATTACTACATATACTCTAAAAACCATGAGTAAGCCATTATTTAGAAAGCCAAGTGCTCTGTTGGGGTAAGGGTAGTATCTCACTGGGCTGTATCATTTGGAGACTGGTGACTAAATGACAAAAAAGGTCATTTTTAGTTGCAGTCTCATGGAAATTTAAGTGTTTGACACCAATCACCAGCAAATCAAGTGTCCGCATTTGACTCAAACAAAAACCACAGCCTATTTTTACGTGCACAGACCACAACACTGCATTTGATGCCCTTTGGACTAGCTATGCAAGGGAACTGTGTCATAGCAGAGGCCCCATGCAGGTGTCAAAATATAGCTGTAAATTTCTAGTGTCTACAGGAATTCAGTTGAGAAGGCAGGTTCAAAACACGGAAAGGTTTAAGGTGGGTTTGAGATGCCAAAAAAAACATCTTTACTTTGTTTGGATAGTTTTGAGAGGTTGTGAATTGGTATAATATAGAAATGCTCAATTGAGTTTGATCATTTCAACTGTTTTTGTTTTTTGGTTGCACCTTTCTAGGTCAAGGCAATGTCCAGGCAAAACAGGTGGCAGATGCCATGTTGGATGCAGTGATTGATGTGATGAGCCAAAACACTTCCAGTGCCCTGACATTGATTCGCATCGTAATTTTCCAGCAACAAATGCTGAATGATTTCCAAAACAGTATGCAGCAAAGAGAAGCCCAAGATCCAAAGGATAATGTGGGATTCTTTGGCAAAACAATCAAAAAGATCAAATGTAAATATAGGGAAAAAAAAATATATATATATATTTTGCTTTGATGAACATTATCAGTCATAAATGTGAAATTCTGGTTTTTGTTTGTATTTCTTTTATAGCATTATTTTACAATGAAAGTCCAGAAAACCCTCAGAAAAAGGGGGACGTCATCATCGAGACGGTCAAACCAAAACCTGCTTGTTTCCACATCTGTGGTAACTCAAAAGCTAATGTGGATGCAGCTAAAGCGAAGATAGATGCCTTCATGTCTGATGACCTAGACAGCGTCCACATGACAGACAATGACATCCTAAACTTGTCAGCTGCTGACTGTAAGCACATCATTGACATCCAGAAAACCATGGGTGTGAGCATAAGTTCTGAGCACAAGAACAGCCAAGCCTCAATCGTCATTGAAGGCCTCAGTAAGGATGTGCTCAAAGCTCACAAAGAGATTGATCAGATGCTGAAGAGGGTGAAAGGTGAGCAGGAGACCATGAAGAAAATGGAGCTGGTTAACGCGGTGGTAGATTGGCAGTATCAGGCACAAGGGCTTCAGTTTCAGAGTTTTGATACAATGACAAGCTACCAACTTGAGCAAGCATTGGAGATGGAAACACCAAATTTAAAAGTTACAATCAAGGGTCAAGTCTACGTTGTGACGATGCCAAATGGACCAGCCACTGACGGCAAGGGAAACAACCTGAAGATTAGGAGAATTGACAAACTGAAAGGTAATGCACACAAAACTAGAGAAATTGCTCTTGGAATGCTGAATGACTTTGCTGTAGAAGCTAAAAATGAGTTGTTAAAGCTAAAAGAAGCAGAACACTAAAAGCTTAAAATAAGGCTCAAAGCAAAAAAATGTTTAGCTAAAAGCTAAAAGGAAGAAAACACTTGAAAAAGGTAAAAGTAGCACAAGGCTAGCAAAAAGCACCAAAGATTTATTTAAAGGCTAATAGTAGCATATAGGTTTGTTAAAAAAAATAGCAAAACGCTACCTAAAAGCTAAAGTAGCTAAAGGCTAACTGAAAATGGCAAAACTTTAGCGAAAAGCTAACAACACTTGTAGGTGGGTAGAATGTAGCAAAAGGCTAGCTAAAAGCAGCAAA